TAGGACCTTACTCCATAGACTTTCTGTTTCCTTAAGGAAATGCCATCCAAGTTTCATCGACAAACATTTGTTTGTAATCTCCAGACTTTTAAAGCCCAACCCCCCAATGCATTTAGCTTTAGTAAATTCACTCCATGGTTTCAGATAGACATGATCCCTATTCTGATCAAAGCCCCACCAGAAGTCACAAATTATTTTGGTGATTTTCTCTAGAGTACCATGCGGTACCTCGTGGATTGCCATGAAAAAATTGGGAACTGCAGAAAGTGTTGATTTAATCATGATTTCTCTCCCCGCGTGTGAGAGGCAGTAAATTTGTCGATAAGAAAATGCCAGGACTCTACCTTCTTATGCTTCATGAGGAGTGGGCTTCCAAGATATTTCTCGTTGCATTGCATGTGTGCCACACCAATCTGATCTGCCAACATCTCTCTTTGATGGCGGTGAACATTTTTACTAAAGTGGATTGAGGACTTCTCAAAATTGACCTCCTCTCTAGGCCAGCCGTAGTATTTCTCAAGTGTCTCTTTAACTTTGTTTAGCTCTGAAGTCGTTCTACGTCCAAAGATGAGAAGGTCATCAGCAAATAGCAGGTGATTGATCTTGAGATTGCTTCTTCCGAATTTAATTCCATGAAGATCCCCCACCTGAAGCTGTTTATCAAGCAACCTCGACAAAACATCAGTACACAAAATGAAGAGGTACGGAGAGAGGGGACAGCCTTGACGTAGGCCACTCTCTGGGGTAAACCTCTCACTCTTTCACCATTTAGTAAAATGCTAAAACTTGATGAAGCAATACAACACATAATTAGCTTACAGAAATGGGGAGAGAAACCTCTTCTCTTCAAACACCACTCCAGGAAGGACTACTCGATCTTGTCATAGGCTTTGGCTAGGTCAAGCTTTAAAATGAATCCCCCATGCTTCCCTTGCATATGGCTGAGAGTGTGAACTACCTCTGAAGCAATAATTCTATTATCGTGAATTTGACGTCCTGGTGTGAAGGCACTTTGGTAAGGGGTTAACATTGTGTCCAAGTATGGCTTTAACCGATTAACTATAATCTTGACCACCACTTTGTAAATTACATTAGTGAGTTCGATGGGGCATAGATCCTTCACTCTTTGGAGGCTATCTTTCTTCGGGATCAGGACGATAAAAGTGTCGTTGACTTCTGTAACAGTCTTTGGAGTGATGAAAATTTATTGAACAAACTTCACAAAATCACTACCTATCTCATTCCAACTCCTTTGAAAGAAAATAGCTAGTAATCCATCCGACCCCGGGGCTTTAAGAGGTCCAATTCTGAAAAGTGCATATTTGACTTCCTCAAGGGAGGGTACCTTGCACAAAGATTCATTGTCTTCACTACTTATCGTACTAGGTATGACATCATCTTCGATATGCGGGAGAGTTGGGTGGGATGATTTATAGAGATGCTCATAGAACTCCCTCACAGTGGCAACAATTTCCTCTTTATCTGTTGTCCATGACCCTGTACTACTTTGTAGCCATTGAATGCTATTTCTTCTTCTCCAATTGGAGGTAGAGATGTGAAAAAAAGAAGTATTTCTATCCCCTTCTCGGAGCCAGGTGACACGGGATCTCTGCTTCCAATACAATTCCTCTGCTTCTAACAGGTGGTTAAGTTCAACTCTTAGAGACAATTCTTGCATCTTTGTGGGAGCATCAACACTTCTATTTTGAATTGCCCATAACTTCTCTTCAATGTCGTGGATTCGTTAGCGATAGTTGCCTAGGATTTGCTTCCCCCATTGTGTTATGTGGATTTTACAAGTCATACACTTTTGTAAGAAGGAGACCCTCTCTTGCTTCCAGGCTGAATCAACTTCGCTATTAAAATCGGGTTCCCGAGTCCAGATTGCTTCAAATCTTGGGCTGCCCACGTAATTGGTCCTATTTGAACTTGTGTATAAAACAATTGGCAGATGATCACTTCTGGCTGATGCCCAATGTTCCACATAAGAATTTGGGTATTTTTCCAACCATTGGGGGCAACACAATGCACGGTCCAACCTTTCCATTATCAAGTCTGAACTATCACAGCCATTTGGCCAAGTAAAGGGAGGGCCACGAAAACCAATATCAATTAGTCCACAAGTATGAATAAAATCTTTGAAGAGTTGCATTTGATTCCTATCAGCTCTCTACCCTCCAAACTTTTCACCTTCCTGGGCTATGGCATTTAGATCTCCAATCATGAACCAAGGATTGTGGATAGACCCGCTAAGCTCTTGTGGATCCAAATAGAGTGTCTAAGTTCCTTAGTAGGACTCCCATAAAGTCCAAGCATCTCCCAGTTGAAGTGAGGTGGGAAATTTGAGATTGAAGCATGAATATAATTTGAGTTGCCTGAATTAATAGAAAGAGTAATATGCCGTTTCCAACCTAACCACAGTCCCTCAGATTGACCCTCAGATGCCACATAAAAGTAATTATAATCATATAAAGTGCTTAAGATTTTCTCAGACTTACTTTCATTACATCTAGTTTCACTCAAAAAGAATAAATCTGTTTTAGCTCTATGAAGGGGATATTTAAAATAGCGAACTGCCGATCGGCTCTCCCACCCCCCTTGGCAGTTCCAAAAGAGGACAATCATGGCTCCTGTGGTGGCAATACACGGCCTGCCACCTTGGCCATTTCAGACAAAGAACTAGTGCCCTGTTATGGATACACCAACCGGCAGCGCACTACGGCGCAGTCATGGGTAGTGGCACGCACAGTAGGCCGCACAGCAGCAGGCACCGCCCAGAAGCACGCGCTGCCCGACAGCGCGCAGCATGCAGCACGCACCACCTGGCAGCGCGTAGCATGTACCGCCTGACAGTGCCCTGCACGCACTGCCTGGCAGCACGCAGCACGCACCGCCCGGTAGTGCGCAGCACGTACTGCCCGACAACGCGCTGCACGCACCGCCTAGACGCATGCAGCACGCACCGCACGGCAGCAGCACCGTGAGACGCGTGCGCCGCCCAGGGCGGGGCCCACATGACAGCTCATCAGGGTGGGGGCACACTTATCTTACCACATCAGCTCTGCCCGCCAACTCTCCGCCAGCTATACCATTCCTTATCCCTTATCTTATCTTATCCTTATCTTTATCTTATCTTAAGTAAGAGTTGTGTTGCCATTAGGAGTAGGTAATTAGGAGTTTGAGTTTAATTAGGAATTTCCTTCTGTAATCCCTTATTTAAAGAGCCACGAATTGAAATAGAGGCATTCAGTTTTCGAGTCAAGAAAAGAGTGAGGAGAGTTCAGGTGGTCTCTTGGACAAATCACCCATTAGGAGAGTTCGGGTGATCTCTTGGACAAATCACCCATGCGATTGCCACAATAGGGTTTGTACGCAAGGGAAAGGGCAAGGGAAGATAGGAGTCTTCCGGCGGACCGACCTGCAACAAGATCCTATGCGCGGGCCCATAACATGCCCACGCTCATTTGTTGGTCGAGAGTTTTGAGTCGCGCTTTCTTCTTCAAACATAAATGGGCAATTGTGGTTCTTGTAATCAAGGATTCTGTTATTTCCACATTGGGCTCCAAATCTGATTCAGGCTTCCTCTTTCAGCCCACTACAGAATCTTGTAATTGCTGATCGTGGTAGTCTTTCGTAATGAAAGGAAATAGGTATCTTTTTGTTACTCAGAAGAGTATAGCTGGTAGATTTAACTAAGGGATTATAGATGATCATGGAAACTTTGATTCGAATGAACTTACTCCAACTTTTCTCTGCACCGATTCTTGGCTCATAAGGTTTTCCAATCATCTCCGCTAGTTCCATCCCTACCAGTGGTGTGAGGTATTCCACCGGTAGACCTCCTATGTGAACCCAAAGATCAATTCTATTAAGCAAGTAAGACGAGGGAACTCTGTTTGGCAAGAACTTTTCCATTATAATGAGATCATTATTGAAGGTCCAAGGCCCGTTGTCATATTGCATCCCTAGATCTTCTAGAGGGGAAATGGACCAGGAAGGTGTCTAAATCGAACTCAGCAATACCATTTGCATCTTTGATGTTCCAAGCCGCTTGTGAACCCTTTCTCAAACCCATTAGGTCGATTTCTTTATCTGACAGGACTCGGATCACCAAGGATCTGTTCCAATCTTGAGAGCTGGACACATGATCCTTCTTTGTTTTTATTTCCCGATCACTTCGTGGAGCAAGCAGATATTCCAGACTTTCTACCAGAGCTATCTCAGTCTTTGTTGCAACGGAATGGGCTCCGGCGGTTCCATCGACTAGTGAAGTAGATTGTACTATCTAATGATGGAATAGAATCTCACACAAACGGTGAGGGGGAGATCTCACACAAACGGCCGCTACATTTTTGCAACGTTGTCTTTTGCATTTACTCCCTATGAATATGCAATTATCATAAACAAAGATAACCTTAAAGGTATATTTTATTGTACTTAAATCTTTGTTAGGATGGTAATTTTTCCCATCCCGGCCCGCTGGGCATTCGTCCTCCTTATCGACCCATCTGGTTGTGAATGGAGATTGCTTTGGTGGGGCAGGATGGGGATTAACAGGGATCCTTGACCTACAAGGACAAAAAACAATTATAGCTTCTAAGCTAATTAATGCCAAAGTCTGGGATATATACCCATCAAGATTATTTTCCAAGTAAATACAAGGTGCTAATATTGTTTTAATATCTGAATTAAGTTGTAAATGATGATGGGTCTCTCCATGGTTCAGGGTCCTACCGTGTAGACTCCACACTAACTAACAAGAGTTGCTATACACGGAATTAGTGTATGATTAGATGTCTGTTTATATAATCTTGCCGAGTCCCTGTTGTCTTCATAACTCGGACTCCAAACTTATCTCGGAATTGTCTGATTCCTAATTGGCCAAGGACAAGTAGACCAAGGTCTATAAATAGATGTGGTGACTTTAGGGTCTTTAACTTGTGTCAGTACTCTCTTAATCCTTCTTCCATCTCCTCACCTTCAACTTCTCTCGCTCGCCAATGGCTTCCAGTCCCCATCTTCTCTCCATTTTGTTTCTTCTCTTCCTCTCATCGTTCTGTGTCTCACCTATCTTGGGTACTTCTGTTACTGCCGCTGCTCATCGTGTGGAAGGAGGAATAATACCAATCGAGAAGATCAAGAATGCTCTCTCGAATGCCAATTTCTTTACCATGTCCTTGACTCTGGACATGGCTCTCAACACCACGATCCCATCTGAGTTCTTCAACAGCAACGATAAAACCATCACCATATTCTGCCCCTTGGACAGAGCGTTCATGTCTCCAGGCTTCAAGTACGCAGGCCCTCCCTTGACCTTGCTGAGATACCACGTTGCACTGGGGAAGTTCGACAGGGAGGCTTTGGATTCACCGAAGCTGCACTGGTCTAAGGTCGAAACCTTGCTTACTGGGCATGCTCTCGTTGTCACTTCAGTGAATGGACGGGCATCCATCAATGGCGTCAGCATCACACATTGGAATCTATACAATGATGGGCACGTCATTGTTCATGGCGTGGAGGAATTCTTTGATCCTGCTTTTCAGACTATTTGGTTTCCTCAGTATGATGGTGGAGTTCCGATCAACATTAATGACGAGTCCGTTACCGTGGGTTCTAGAAACGTGGTGGATTTTCTTCTTAAGCTGATAGAGTGATGGGATGTACAGAATCTACAGATTGCCGTCTCTGGGTTAAATGGGTAATCCTTCCTGGTTTCCTTGTACTGTTTCTGTTTCTTTTCTGTCCTTGATGTAAAGAGTTCTTGACTGATACGTTCCCTTGTATTCTTCGGTAACATTTGTGAAAAAAAAAATAGTGACTTTCTTTAACTTCGATTTCTATCTGCCTATTGTATCATTGTTTGATTTATTGGTTCCCAGGCTGCTAAGAGGGTCTTGTGGGGTTTCTTGATCAGTTCTTGTTTATATTGCAAAAACGATTATAAACAATTAAGCCTTTCTCTTTCTACAGTTTTTTTCCCGTCACAGTTCTAATTGGTATGCTACAGTAAAAAATAAATTGATTTAGATTTGAATGAACGGAACTGGAAACCATTAGCTACAACCCCACAATTAATCTGTGGATTCACAAATACTGCAACAATAGATTATGTGTTTGCTAGGAGCTCCTCTCCTTGATTGCCATTTACGTTCCTCAAAATTCCTTTCTGTTATGCAAAAATCAAGTTATGAAGACGGTAGACAAGTAAAAAGTTTGCCATTCTTATTATAATTGGATCGATGAATTGCAATTACATACACGTAATTTCAGAAACAACAAGCTCTTATTGATGATGATTGCCATATAAACTAGCTAGCTAGACGATAGTTCTTCTTAATCACAGCAAAAACAGTACTGTACTGGCTGCCGAGGCCTCGAAATGCAACATGTGTTATAGCACCCGTCCAAAGCTGCATAGATCAATGCATAAACATTATATCCACTGTAGACGTAAATTTATAAGAAAGAAAATGATAAAACTAGTGGAATTAAACATAAAATAAGTGATGTTTGTTGCAAGCCACAGTGAACAACTTCAGACGCTACTGCCAGTAGAAGCAGTACGAACACTAGGTTAACAGCAACCTTCATCTCTTCTGTGTATTGAAACTGAAAGATGAATGTGAGAGACAACAAGAGAAAAAGGACACAAGATGAACAAGTTGTTTTCTGCAATTCACACTTTCACGGTATGTATAGAATTTCATGGGGATACTAATTAATGTTTTAGCCAAGATGGGATTCTTTTTCATTAAGCTATTGGTTTTTCTGGTGCATGTATAGTTGAGTGGAAACTCACTTTTCCTTTAAACAATAAAGGTAAATAATTGTGGGTGCACAGCTCCATTGATGCTTGAAAAACTAATGTTTACCAGCAAAAGAAAATATTATTTTCTTGATAACCAAAATTTCTTATTAACTCATTAATTGGACGACCCCAAATTGGAATCAATGGTTTCCTTTTCAGAGTAGTTGCATAACTTTGTGATCATGGTGATTAATAATACGTATTCATTATGCCTCGCACAAGGTATTTATGGTGGAAAGATAGGATATGTATATCCCCTTAAGGCCCTGTTTGCTTTTCGGTAAGTTACTTACCTGGAAATACTTACCCCCAAGGTGGGAAAGTTATTTACCCACCTAAGAATGTGTTAAGCTTTACCTGGTCCCCACCTAATTCTGAAAAAGGAACATGGGATTCTTGATCAATGAAAATCAAAATCCCATTGATCAACTTTTCCCTCTCAAAATCCAAAAAAGAACGCCCCCTAAGTACATTTTCTATGTGCAAACCCTCCATTAATGGGTATATGCTTTATAGTTTATATAGTACCTGATAAATAGGATAAAAATGGAACTTGATATGTCCTTGGTAATGGGCCCAAGCAAGCATCCTGATAGGAGATGGGCGTATTCATGTGGCTTGGGCTTAATCTCCAGTAGTGGGTGCGACATCCACTGGGAGGTGTGGTAAGGCCTAGCTATTGCAGGGCCCAATTTGTTGCAACGAAATACTCAGGCCCTCACAGTGGGATGTGCCTGTGAGGCGCCTTGTGTGAGGAGAAGATCCCACCTCGTCTAAGCATGGTTAGTGGGTTGTCAGAGGGTGATGGGAGTTGAGATCTGCCAATGAAACACCTTTGTACGTCTACCCTCTACCATCTTGATCTGCACACCTCACCACGAGGCTGGGTCCTATCATAAAAGTGGAACCTGTCATGTATGAGATGTCAGGTGTAAGATTCAGTATTCACAAAATTATGTTCATACCCTTCTTACAACCTTTTTCTGCCTTGCATTGGAAATATCTCTACACTTGTATTTTTTATTTATAGGAAAATCTTCCCAATACACACTGAAAAGGCTATGAGAAGGGTGCGAGTACAATCTTGTAAGTATCAAATCCGATTTCCAATGGGAGTTAGTGATATGGACAAGGTGGAGGCAGAAGAAGTGAATGTTTACAAACTTGAGGAATTTTAGGGTGTATTAAGTTGAAAGATCTTATGGATGTGTATGTGGATATCTATTTAAATGAAAGAGGTGGAGATGCAAAAAATGTTAGGAGAAGATCAGGTTGAGGGGGGAGGGGTGGAAAGCGGTATAACTTCTGTTTGGCCCTAGTGATTTCAGTTTGTAATTCAGATTTCATCCTCACAACCTTTTGCAGTATTGCATTGGAAATGCCTCCATACTTGTTTATTTGTATTCATAGATAGATGTTTACAATGCACAGCTGCAAAGAGATGTGAAGACGGTATGAGGATGAAAGCCGGATTCTTCGGTTTGAAGGTTTCCTTTGCTTCATATCCTCCACAATGCTTGTTGTACGTTGTTTGTGCCGTGTCTAGTTTTTGTTTTTGTGGTTCCTGTGTGTTTGGTTTGAGTGGGCTTTTTACTTGTGAGAGCTGATCTTTTCTTGTATCAGGTCATTTGTATTTATTTTCTCATCCTTTTGTTTAATTTATCATAAAAAAATAAATAAGCTAAAATTGTTTATTAATTGAAAAATAATGTGTGTTCATTGAAAAATTTGAAAAATACCTGTAATTCAAATAATTAAAAATGCTGACTCTATAATTCTACAATATCTCTCTGCTAAAACCAAGGTGTTGAACCTATTTGTTGACTGGGTCAGACCCGTTAAACTCATCTGCTGGGAATCTGAATCCATACATGGTAAAAACTGTGAATTGAATCAACAACCCGATGACATAACCAGTCAAACCGTTGAACCATTTGACCCAATGAAGGAAGGGTTTAGACTTGAGTAGCATAAATTAGCCTAAAACATGGGCTGCTTAGAATGATATCATCTTGATTGTCTATTCACCACCCAAGAAATATGACAGGTCAAAAAAACCGTAACTATAGATCTATACCTACGGTCTAGCTACAGACAGAAAACCGTAGCTTATGTTCACGTGGCTATAGCTTATGGTTATGGTTCAATTAATCCGTGGCTATAACCCGTCTATAGTTACGGTATCTGTCCGTAGCTAAAGGACAAATGCAAATCATATGAATCTTTAGCCACAGGCTGAATCGTAGCTAAAAGATGCATATAGCTACGATTTTTAAATTGTTCGTAGTTATATATCCAAATCTATAACCACAGATTTTTATAAAATCACAACTGTAATTCTTCTATTTATTGCTACGGTTTGTTACAAAACCATAGCTAAATGTACTAACTTATAACCACGTATATTTTGCTAAAACCGAAGTTAAATACTCTAACCTATAGCTATGGTTTTTTGACAAACTGCGGCTAAAAAATGCAATATATGCCCACAATTTTTTGGAAAACCATAGCTAATTGTTTCAATCTATATAAAAATTGTGGCTATATTCCAAATAAAATAGAAAAATAATGACAATTAGGACTACCACCTTAAAGCAACACCTATTTTGTTCATACATCACGTAAAAATTATATAATAATTTCTACCAAATACTTATATCATTGTAATAATTCAAATCATTACACATATAATTTGAATACATTCATTGTTCTACAAAAAAGAGTACATCCATTGTTTAGAATGTATTACGAATGTCAAATTTCCCTTAATACATATTAAAGTCTACATGACTTTAAAAAAAATAGAGAAATTCTAAATTTCAAAGACTAATCCATTGTCTTCAACTATGCTTTAAGAGTCACTCCTTGCATCTTTAACCTACAAAGAAAAACAAAAAATGAATTAGAACAATGATTACTTTGATGATCCAATTAAATATGCAAGATACAATGAAAAAATGTGAAGAAAGATAGGTAACAAAAGATCCACTAGTATTCTGTTTAACGCAAGATAAATTTTAAAATTTTAATTAAATGGGCTTGATGCACTTGTATGACGCATGTTGGTTATGAAGGAAGGTGAGATCCATCAAATGGATGGCCTAACCATGATAGATTGGGTGAAATTTCAAAAATTTCTTTCAGCATTTCGGGAATTGCATTCCCTAGTTTCAAAAAAACTGCATTTTTCTAAGGCCATTCTTGCACCAAAAACGGATCACAATTGAAACCAAAAGGAGATGGTTGTATACCTGATCCGGATTCCACAAATGTAGCTACCAAAGTGGTAGTTCACACCCAAATTGAATCCCAAAACTAGCTTCCACTGAAAGTGGCGTAGCTTGGAGTGAAGTCGGTTCAGCAACACAGTTTTTAGCAAAACTGTAATTCAACAGATTGGATCGAACAAGGGAGATGAGCATGGTTTTTCTCTGCAATTTTCTTGCAAAATTCAGAAATAGAATTGATCAAGATCAGTTCCAAGAATTGGAGATTGAACTAGGGTTTCTGGGCAACAAAGAATAGAGAGAGAAAGCTGAAAGCAGAGTCATCTAAAGTAGTTCAATCTCTCTTTTCTTAATCCTTCAAGAGCACCACTCCTATTCGAATTAGGAGGTTTGTAATCCAAATCTTTATTTGGATCTGGACTCTTACAGTAGATAGGTCTTATCCTCTTATGAGAATGGGTGCTCCAAACCCATATTTTCCCAAGTCACATGACAACTTAAGCAGTCATGTGACCACTTGGTTAATCATATTAATCATGGACTTTAGGCCCATTAATTAAGTGGCTCACATCCCAAGGGATTTGTTGTCCCATTTAGGTTCAATTTGTATGGTGTGGGA